CAGTCTACAGCCATGCTGGGGATGAAAAGATTGATCTACTAGCTGCCGTACAGCTCTGCGAAACTTTCAGATGTTTCGTTCGAGTAAAAATATGAGCATTCGCGTCTTGCATGATCCCTTTACTCTCGACTGAAAGGTACAAAGAGCCGGGGTCCAACGCGATGGCGGGCAAAAAACCTTCGACGGGAATCGTCAAGTCCTAATAGACGCAGAACGCCCTCAGAAAAGAAGTGAAATTTATCACAACTAGGGGATGTGATAAACGGGGCCTAACACTTAAAGAATCCAGCTAAAAGTGGTGGAGCACAGGCCAGGATTGCTGGCCGATAAAATCAATATCCGGGAATTTCTGTGTCTGGGGGTAATGTGTAAATACGCGCGATTTGCGGTGGTTTGAACTAGTAAACAGTAAGAAGATACAATAAAGCTGCCAAATAAGGGACGATATACGTGCGTCTAGCGAGCGGGGGCACGAAATAGTGTGAAGGCTTATTTCAAACCTTCTAGTGAAGTTTGATAGCATTACAGTTCGAAATATTGCCTCGTCTTGGATCTTGTTTCAGTATACGATCTCATTTTTGGTTTGGCGCAACTGAAATGCCTCAAGACATAGACCGACTGGAAATTGAAAAAGTTGGGTGCCGCGCACTATTCTCCTGATGAGGCTTCGGATGCCAGGAAAAACAATGTTTTGGCGCGGTCGGATAGCTATCGTATATAATATGAGATTGTATGAACTGGATAGCAGTAAATTACTAGGTGCATCAAGCATAGCTCAAAAAGCTGCAGCTGTGATCGATGAGACAGATAGAAACGACTGTATATTATGTCCCAAAATGTACCTCTCGTGAGACGGTAAAGCACAGCTACGGTAAAATTGAATGTCGAGTCGGCGGTGGATTTGAAGGGAGAGTGTAAGTCGCTAGTTTAAGCGACAGGCTCTGAAGATTGGCATTCTTGTCGCGATGAGGCGGTACCGCTGAGTCAGCACTACTGCGTGACGTGCCCACCATGTGGAGCAACAAAAATCTGCGGATAAACAGTTCGAAAATATTGCCTTCTCATGAACGGATTGATCAACTGTTCTCTTACTCACTCCAGTAGAAGCTTTATAGAAATGAAGGAGCTTTTCCCTAAGGAGTATTTGCAAAGATCTGTAAGACAGTAGATCACAGACTTGGCAGTTTGGTTATGGAGAAGCTGGTATTTCTCGTCATGGATATATCTGTCATGAGGGACACTCGCGGAGCGCTGAGAGTAGGGAGTGCGGCATCTGTCCTCAAGGATCCTACTGATCAATATCTATCCATTGTTGAAGAATATGAAAACGAGGTGACAAGAGCCTCGCCAGTAGTGTTACATCTAAGTCGGGGGAACGCGTCATGATATTGACTTAGCTGACCAGTTATTGTACGGCAATGGCCTTTATCAAGGGAATAGTATGACTTCATCGACCCACTTTTCCGTGCGAAGTATAAGGCATTATCAAAGCGAAATAACTGTCTCCGCTCAAAGAAAACCATTTGTGTCACAAAGGATAACGTTAAGTTGCGAAACGTGAATCCTTATGATAGGCTAGATGGGGCTACGTTGGAAGTACTAACATCGACTCTTGGCAGGGTTGTGTTGCAGAACAGCATCACCTGTTGCAATTTTTTCAGCCTCCTTGGCCAATTCAAGTGCTCATGACAAACGGCAGTGTGCCTCTCACCGTCTTAAGGAATTTTGACGAAATGCCCTATA